GCCAATTGTGAGGTTGTTTGACGGGAAAACCGAATAGACGCCTCTTAGGTCCCCTAGCGAGGTGCCCTTTTACCGTTTTTTTTTTTGGGGGGGAGCCTTTACAAAAAAAAACAGACTACAGAAAAAGACGCTAGCCTTTTTCTATCCTCTCTACTGCAGGACCTAGGAACACTTTTTTGTGGCTTGGGCCTGTTTCAAAGAAGTGGTGTAGAAGCCCGAGCTGCTCGATGCCCCTAGGCGAAAACTTGGTCCAGGCTAACCTTTTGCCTCAACGGAAACCCCGAGTGAGTTCCCAAAACGCGCTAAGGGCACACCGGTCAGCCATGAAAGGACCCCCGTATGGCACAAGCAATGGATGTTAGCCATCGCTGCTATTGAAGAAGTCCAGATTGTAGCCAGCAAAAAAGTGGCCCATGTTCGGAAGTCAAGCCCAGTGCTTCCAGTTACCACTCTGCTAGGTAAGGTAGGTAAGGGGAAACCATCATGTAACCTGGTAAATATACCTGGTTAACTGCAGTTGTACACAGGTCGAGACCTAAACAAGTGTTCTATGCAAATCATGGTTGGGTTCCACCAAGAATCAGCGCAGGCGCGGCACTACGGCATCGCGGAGATGCTGTCGCGCGTGAGTAGCTATGACCAGAAGGTCAGCGTGAAGATGAGGACCTGACGGTGTAGGGATGGTGCAAGTCCCATGCCATTTCCCTCAAGGTGGGTGCATGTTTTCCCCTTCCCCGACCCAAAAATGTGTCTTTTTCCCCTTGTGATTTTCCTTTAAGACCAGAAATGGCGATGGGCGTTTACCCCTTATGTATCCATGCTGGCTGAGTTAGGGTCTGACAGGCTATGAACAGGTGAGCGGGTTAGGTTGTTCTATCCCTGTCGTAGCAGTTTGGCAATCAAGGATGAAGGTACAAAAGGAAAGCTGACCATATGCATCTGGATCTGCAACAAGCATGTGTAACCTATTTGAAGTGAGAAAATTAAGACACCGTTGATTTGCTTTTTCGCAAAACATGTTCCTCTTCTTCCAACCAGTTGCAGCATTCGCGCCAGGAAGGATGCGGTTGGAAAGTCAGGCTCGCTCCGCGGGGCTCTTTCTCTCGATCCAAGTGGATCCTGGGTCTCATACCGCGAGTGGTCTTTTTCTTTTGCTTTTGGCCAACCAGCTCGTACGCAAATTGAAGTTGGACATACGGCTAATGTGTGTTCTTGCTTTTGCTTGTGATGTGTGCGTGCGGCCTCATGTTTGTGAGAGACAGAGAGAGAGAGGGAGAGATCTGCTACCTATGCCTCCAGTTAAAGTCCACTGTAGGGCTCAATGATCGCATGGCTTCAAAGTCTGAAAACTGGAAGTGAGATTTCCTCGAAGAGTTAAACCCGAGATTCCCCTTTTGGTTTGTATGTCCAGGCGCTATCGGAAAATCCAAGTCTGGGAATCCAACTTGTGAAGCGCGCCCCACCCTCCAACTCCAAGCTGAACGTCGAGGTGTGTGTTCTATTTACTTCCGTTTGGAGAGAATATGTGTTGTTTGTTTCCGCCTGTCAAACGGACTCTGTCACTTCTGGACATATTCTTTCCAGGGGACTTCAGCAAATGGATGTTGATAAGAACCCCCAAAAACACACCTGGAAACCTTCCCCCCCCCTCCCCCCCTCCCCCCCAAAAAAAGAAGAAGTAGTAAACCCCCCCCCCCCCCACACGAGTGGCAACACAGTTTTAGCGTTTCACCAGGCGAGATCCGCCAGCCCTGTGGCATTTTCGACCGCGACGATGCCGCCTGCAACGTGTCGGCGCTGCCGGCGCATCATCTCAGCCGCCCTCCCACTGCCGTGGTCGTCATGGGCGCCATGGACGTCAAGCCGGTCGTGTTTTTTTGTTTTTTCAAGAGCCACAGAAAAGCAACTGGGTAAAGGTTTTTTTTCAACTGAGCCACACTAAAAAACCAGGTAGATGAAGGTTAGGGGATGGCCCCAACTATAAATGGGTGCCTCACCCGAAAGGTCGGCCAAAGGGAAGTGTCCAGCTTTGGTTACGTTTGTTAACTCCCTGGGCAAATCATTCAGAAATCTGCCTCAAATACACTGAAATCCCGACAGGGGTGTTCTTCAGCAAGGTTCCAACAAGTGAACCTTTCATTTCCAGTTACTTTGGGCAAGTCAAAGCATCAGGAAAAAGGGGGAACGTCGAAACCACTATGCCCATTATGAATCCACAATCAACGACCCTTATTGCCCCATGCCTGTTGAGTTGGCAGACTTTGATCGGGGGCATGGTGATTTTTCTCTTGGATGGTTTAAGTTACAACTCTTTGGGCCAATGCGAAAGTCGCCGTTTGGCGGATATCAAAAGAAGGTTATGACTGGTGTTCATTGGCGCTCGCCAGTGACCCGATCAACTTGACAGGGAATGCAGTTTCCCCTGTTCAGCCGCATTGCTTAGTGGGGTATTGCCATGGCTGTGAGTGGCATGTACTGTATATGCGTACCAACGACCGAAGCTTTCTGGTTTGTTCTTTGTCCTTCCCTGCTGTTTGATTTTAGTCATAGTTGGTTTAGCATTTGTTTGTCGCTGCTATTTCTTTCTATGTATGTCAACATGCATTGCATGTCGTGTTTTGGTCCTTTGATACCTCTTGTGGTTTGAGGCTTCCCTCATCGCTGTTTGCTTCAGTTCGTTATGTCTGTTTGTTTTGCATTGTGTCTTAGTCTTGTTTGTTGTTATCTGTTTTGCTTCTTGTCTTTTAAACAAAATAAGCTCAGGTGATATCCCCAACAGCATGCGGTGCTCTCTTTAGTGCTCGCACCCGCAGCCCTTGCAGAACCTCGTGGGACCCTCGTGGAACCTCACCTCAGGGCCACCCCAGACCAGCCCGGAGCCTATCTGGGCGACCCCAAAGCTTTCAGCTGTTGGGGAGAAATATTTATTTATTTATTTCAATCATTATCTCTGTAATTCTGTCGTTCATGTTTTTTGTCGCGATGTATTTGGTGATTTATTGTTTCCTGCCTTTCTGTCGTTCCTTATTTCTTTCTTTCTTCCTTCCTTCTTGCTTTTGGTCTTTCTTTCTTTCTGTATTGGTTTCTTTATGTCGTTCTTGCTTTGGTTTCTTTATGTCGTTCTTGCTTTCTTTCGTTCCCTTCCATATGTCTCTTCTTTGTTCCCGTCGTTTCCTTCCTGTCGTCTGTTTTATCTTGACACCTTGCGCCCTTCCTTCTGTTGCTTGGATTCCTGGTTTCCATTCTCTTCCATGCTGCCAATGGCTGCCATGCCCGGGGAAGGAGCCGGAGGCTCTTCCATAGGAGTTCCTCCGGGCGTGGATTTGGATCCCCAGAGCTGCGGAGCGCCAGCCGAGGGGACCTGAACTACCGGCTGGCGGCCAGCGGTATCGAGAACTTCACCGAGGATGGGAGCAAAGTGGTCCCCAAGTGACTAAGTGGTGGATTTTTCATCTTGCACAATTCGCGAATTCCTGTTGTCTCGGGGGGGAGGGGTTTTGGGGCATTTAGAGGTTCACTTGGATGTCACGCAATCACATCGCGACCTTGCCGACAGCGGAACATCCGGCCCCCCTTGGCCATAGCTGCACTGAGATTGGACAGCTGTGGATGAAAGCCCATGGGACAAGCCGATCAACTGGGTGCGATATGGGTGTGGCTCAAAATTAAACAGGAGGGGTTACGCAGGTTTTGGTCCGTGTTTCCACTTACCAGGTTCCATTTTGGTACCGGTTTTTTGAGCCACAGCCAACTGGGTGCGAAATGGCTGTGTGTTCTTTAGTCCAACCAAAGTCGACGCATTTGAAACGCGCTGAAACTGAAGGCCGACGGGCTGGCCTTTCGGCGCTTCCATTCGGATTTCGTGGACATACTGTGGATGGACGAAATCCATTTCGCACCACCTAAGAAACCCTGGAATCATGATTCCCCTGTAAATACCAACAAACAATGGCTTCCCATGGTTTCCAAGTGGTGCAGGATTTCGTCCATCCACAGTACCAACTCTACTCTTTTGAGCCGTGAATTGCAAGGCAGGCAACTTGAGACAATTCTGCAACTGGCATTGGGGCATGATGCTGAGCTTTTAATACCCCAAACCCAGGATCCTGCCAGGTCGGTGCTTGCACTGCAAATCAGGGACTTCATCACGGACTCTCTATTTAGATCTAGTGACAACTCGCCTGGATGACGGTTGGGTCGCGACGCAGCCGGGGTACGTGACAGGTCTTTGATGTTCATCGTAGGTGGGTGCGTTTTTACCACTGTCCCTTTTCGTGGCTTCGAAGGAAAACCTTTCTCGCAATACCCTTTGGGGGGGTTCCCCTACTCTGAAATGCTCCGGATTAAAAGCTCTACATGGGTGCTTGCTAAGCTCTGCCCCTAAACCTGCTGGTTCTCGGGGTATCAAGAGACGCAGTTGGGAACCTCGGTTGAGTTCGGGGTGATTCCAACGAGAATTCCAGTCGGTGTCCTTCACCAAGCGCGGGTCCGTGCGCTCCATTCACGGTGCCTAGCAGACAAAAGGGCATAAGAGAGTGGCGAGTGGTGGTGATGTTTTATGGCCTTCGCCAAGCACAGGTGATGAGGTTCAGCTTACTTGGCGGTTTGGATTGGTGGCTTGCCAAGCTATTCTGGGTTTTGGGAAGGGGAAGAATCTACGACACCTTCACAACGGATTCAAGCAAACCTGAGGACAAGCTGGTCTTTGTGGGTGCCCGCAAAGACCTCTCCGGCAACGACCGACTGGTGAAAGGCAACCGGGCTTGAGTCCTTGAGTCAGTATGCCTTCGTTTGAGGGTAACAAAAATCTTCTTGGGCGGCGCTACAAACTCAAAAGAGAAGGAAATGCCGAACCAATTTCGGGGGGCCCCACGGAAAAACGCCACATTCCACTTCTTGACTGGCTGAGTCATCTCCTTTTGGGCCTTTGGAAAGTGTCCCAGGGCAAGGAAGGCGACATAAAGCCCGAGCCCATGCGGTGCTTTGGGTGGAAGCGGGACCAACAACCGAGCGTTCAACTCTTGGAGTACTTAAAGGTTGCACTTGTGCTAGGTCCCCCAGTAGTGCCCTTTTACCGGGAGGGTTCCCCTACTAAAATAGGCTACAGAAAAAAGTTGGTACCCTTATTCTAACCTCTACTGGAGGACCTAGTGTGTGTTGAGGGTGGGAGAAGTCTGCAGAGTTTTCATGAAACCCAACGAAATCGGTGTTTATCGGAAATCTGCTTTGGGGAACCCCGTTTTTAAGGGATTCTACAGCGTCAAGGGGAAGCAAACCCATTTGCCTTCTTTAAGAAGACCCCTTGCTCGGGTTTGCTATAGAAACAGCGTCGAATCGGTGCCGCAGAGCCAGCATGGAAGCTCGGCTTTATAATATGGAAAGTTTTCAACTTTCGACTCAAATCAAGAGCCCAAGGGACCGCAGATTCGAAAGTTTGTCCTTCAAACCTAGGTCCCCCCCGTAGTGCCCTTTTACCAACTTTTAGTAGGGGGAGGGTTCCCCTACTAAAATAGGCTACAGAAAAAGGGTACCCTTATTCTAACCTCTCTACTGGAGGACTTAGAAACTAGGGGTTGGGTGACAGCCACATATCCTTGCTGCTAGCTTGAGCTTTGGACTGAGGATTCTGTGAAGCGATCGTCCGGACTTGGGCGGAGCTGGCTAGTTGATAGTTAAGTGGCTATGAAGTTTCACGTGGAACCTGAACAGTTGTTGGTGGTTTCATAAATAATCAATGTCCACCAAAGGGTCCTTTAATCGTTCATTTGCTTGAGAATCTGGATTCATTTTCCCCTTTTTGTTTTCAAGGGAATCTCTCGCTACTGGACGACACATCTTGTCCAAACGGACGAAAATATAACACCATGCCCAGCTTTCTGAAACTTGTACACCTGACTTTGCCTTTTGCTGGGAGCGAAGCCCACAGGAACCCAGCCATTGCCTATCGAGTTGCACCCCAAAAAAGGGGTGACGCTGATCACCTTTCAGGAACCGGTGTGGGCGAGCATGGGCCTGTCGTTCACCGAAAAACTGTTTTTCGCACTGCTTAAGGAGATGTGGCTGTGACCACCCGGGTACCAACTGGTGTTTAAGGTCTCCTACGTGAGCCAACAAACAGTGGTTAGAGGGGATTTTGATGTACTTGTTTGGGATTTCGAAGTTTGATATCTTGAGCATGTTGCATGCGTGCTTTGCTGAATGCTTGTATTTGTGAGGTCTGCTTCACTCAGTGGGGTCCTACATGGATGGTTGTAACATACTGAACACTGGTCATGCACTGGAAAAAAAAAAGCACACACACCCAGCACAACAACTCGAGAAAACAACATAATTCGAAAAGGAACCAACAACCTCGAGACGACAAACAACAAAGCGACGCGAGAAAGCAACAACACAACGCACTATTTCAATTTGAGCTCTGTTCCAAAGAGTTTCCCAAATCAAGTTTGTTAGTTGTTTTTGGTGTTCTCAAGGTGTGTTTAAGTTTTGTTAGGTTTTCTCGAGGTTTTGTGTGTTTTCCTGTTGTTTGTTTTCTCTACTGTGTTTGGTTTAGCCTGGGTTTGTCAAGGTGTTTCGGCTTTCTTGGAGTTTGGCAACTGGCTCACTACCAGAGTCCCCTGTGCTTGTTTGAGGCTACTGCCTTCCTTTTTTGCTGTTTGGTTCCAAGGGAAGGCCACCGACCCATTTTGAGACAAACCCCATGTCGCTTCTGGCAAAAGGTGCCGGGCTTCGCCCACTTGGTTTACTCAAGCCCATGTCTATCCCAAGTCTATCCCAAGTCTATCCTGATCTTGGGCGAACCTTCCCATGTTCACCCCATGGCTGAGACTTTCGACACGGGGCCGTCTTGGAAAAGAATCTCCGGAAGTGAATCCGGATTTTCAGAGGTATGGAACCCAAAACTTTACAGCTGGTGAAACGGACACCGATCCCAGTTTTGGCTTAGTTTAGTCTTAGTGGGGTGTGTTTTTTCGGGTCTTCGAACTTGGATGTTCAACGTACCAGGTTACAACAATAATAAGTGTTGGCAATTATGACCCTGGCTACAACCTTTGCCAAGTAGGTTGAACATCCAACTTGGAGCGTGGAGCTTAGGCAAGAACGAGAGCTTTGGTCAAAATGTCGAGTCGATCCTCGGATGGACCCCAATCTTGCGATCTCGCCAAATGTCCACAAAGCCCAGGTACAAACCGAGTTCGAATCTTCCAAACATGAAACCAACAAAACATAAACACGTGTTCAGACCTTATTTAGCACCCATGGTTGGGCGACATTTCTCTTAGCAAGCCTTGCAACAAACCGCAAAGTATCAAGATGCAAGTGAAGCACCCGGTGTTCCCAAGCCCTCTGCGAGAGAACAAGTATTGTTTGACCCTTCTTGGGGCTCTTAGACAGGTTCTGAGAACAGTCTCGTGGGCAGGCCCCCAATGATTCCCTGCTGATCTGGGACACGGTTTGGATGCTTTTTTGTGCTGCAGGATCTTAAAAAGAGTACCAAAAGACTACTCAAAACAGAACCTACAGGGAGAAGAGAAGTCCACAAAACGGGGGTTTCCCGGAGCTTAGGTACCGAGCTGGCGGATATCTTGGTAAAAGACGTGTCGGAGGGCGGTTTCGGCTTCCAGTGCAACATGCCTTTCGTTTCTTGGCGAGCCACTGGCGGCGGGCGGTTGGCCTGATGGCCTTTCAGGCAGATTGGCTTCCATTTCCTCGAAATCATTTTATTGTTAAACATATATTTTTTGGATTCCCTTGTTGGTTTTAAAGGGAATCGATTTCAGTGGACAAATATTTTTCATTTTTGCCAGGGGACAAACAAGCAACTGGACGTTGGCTTTTCAGTGTGTGTTTGTTTAAAGGAAAGCCAAAAGGAAGCCGTCGCCATCTTGGGCTGTCCTGGTAGGTTGGGCTTGCACGCGTTTTGAGATCGGTTTAAAGGGAAACTCCTCCCAGATGATTGGTGACATGGGGAACACACCTCCCTATCCTCCATTTGGCTTAAGTTTGTGTGTGTGTGTGCTTTTCCCCAACAGCTGAAAGCTTTCGGGTCTCCCAGATAGGCTCCGGGGTGGTCCGAAGCGGCCCTGAGGTAAGGTTACACGAGGGTTCCACCAGGGTTCCACCACATTTCCGCGAGGGTTCCACGAGGTTCTGCGAGGGCTGCGGGGTGGTGCGAGCGCTAAAAAAGAGCACCGCATCCTGTTGGGGATATCACCTGAGCTTATTTTTATTTTTTTTAAGCCCTTGTTGCTTTTAAAGGACACCTATCACTACTGGACACATTTTTTTTCAGGGGGCTCAAGCAAATGGAAGCTGTGGAGGTTTTGTTGGTAATGTTTGAGGGGAACAAAGAAGGAACGCTGTGGTTGATCAACGAACCCTTGTTGATTTATCAGGAGGGTGTCCCCCAAGGGCGGTGGACAACATGGAGCAGCAACAATTCCGCCTAAAGAATTGCGCCTAAGCTTCGAGTCGCAAATACCTCACATGGAAGTGAAGAGCTGAATCAATTCCCAAACGGGTTCACACGTTTTTGCTGGGTTTTGGCCTTGACAAAAAATTGGTCAACCCTGGAAGGCACTGCCATCGGCATCAGAAGGGCTGTGTTCAAGTTGCTGGCAAGGTGTGCTTCGCGAGGTCATGTGTGCTAAAAAGTTGCCATGTGCGACTGGGCCTGTTTTCCCGTGAGAACACGATCTCCAGCAATCCTGACAAAACTGCCCCAGCAGCCGCCACGAATGCCATTCGCTGCTGCTTGCATTGCCAAAGGAAGGGATAGCTAAGCAGTGATGCACAAAACGATATCCCGGAAGCAGTGTTTTTTGGGTCGAAAAGGCCGTAAGAACTTCTATCGGCCTTTTCGGTGGGTGACCCTTGACAAGCATCTCATCCTTGCGGATGTCAGGCTAAGACTTCGCTACCTGGTTCCTTTTCTTCATGGTCCCTTTCAATCAGAAAATGGACCTTTTGTGCGGGGTCGGATGCGTGTAGAGTTGATTTCTGCCAAGGAACTCTACCCTCCCACCTATAAGCGGAGCGGTGGTGAGGCTGGAGATGTCTGATGCTGACTTGGTGCATGTGGGTATGGGGTCAACATTAAACCACCAGGGGACCGCAGGTTTCAGTCCTTCTTTCCATTTAACCGGGTTCCATTTGTGGTACCTATTTTTGACCCGCAGCCAATGTGTTGCTTCAAGACATTGCGCGATAGTCAAGATCCTTGCAAAGGACCCGCTTAACGGGTTCCCTGAGAACACAAGAACCCTTGCACCAAATGGCCGTGGGTCAACACCAATGGGAGCCCATTTTGGTTGGTAGGTGCACCACCCATTTTGGAACCTATTTTAGTGGGGATTGGGATGTTCCCTACTGGGGGTACGGGGTTTTGACCCAGACCCAAATGACAATTATGCGTGTAGCACCCATTTGTTAAGATCCACCGCACGGGTCCAGTAGGCTTGGGGTTGGAAGGAGCTATTTCGGCGTCGCAGCTGGTGAATGTTGCGCATCCCAACCTAGCCCTTGGAAACAGGTGTTTTTGCATTGAAGGCCCAGAAAAACAAACGGGGGGGAGGTTTGCTGCCGCCTCCTGTTGGATAGATTTCCCCGGGTTTTACGAGTGACGTAGGCCGGAGAGGGCTTTTGTTCCTGCCATTCTTTGGGCTGTCCCGCCCCTTGTTGGGCATACTCCTTGAGTTGTTGCAAAAGCTGCTCAGCTAGAAAGCTGGGTGCCCTTTTTGCGCATGATTGTTGGTTTCGCCCCTTGCTCCTCTTAGAGGGGGATAACCTCTTCACAACGTCAACAAGTAGCTGGGTGCCCTTCCTTTCCCGCAACCCACTGGAGGCCTGGGGCAGCAAATGCAACGAGCTCACGAGCTCAGTTTGTTCAGTCGCACCATCTCGAAATGTTATGTTCGGGTCCCCCAGAACAAAACAAGGAACCACCCAGCGACAAAGGCTTCCCTTTTGCTTGGGTCACTCAGACGCCATCTATCCGATTGATCTGGCCCATGCTCAGGGGTAATTCCCCTTTTGAACCAATTCACAGCAGAAAGGGTCCTTTTAGTATGGCCCTGGGATTGCAGTGCCCGGAAAATATCCCCTTTCCCGAAAGTGCCTTCAAAAAGGCAATCCCTTCTTGAACAACCCTGATAATTACTCCAAATAGCCGCTTGGTCTAAAGCAGATTTTGAAGAACCACGTGTCGCATGGTAAATGCCTTTCTTTTTCCATTGGTGGGTGACATGATACCCTAAACATGCTGGGGTATTTGTACTGTGGGCGTGCCTTTTTTTGACCCTCTCAAGAAACAACAGAGGTCACTGGCTCAGCTAGCTCCGGGTTTCCACTCCATAAATGAAACCGGGTCCCTTGCACATCGACTGTGCGGTTGTATATCCCAATATATCCCAACCTCTTGGGGTGTTTGGAGCAAGCCCATTCAGCCTTACAACCCAGGACTAAGCTTGGTGCGAGAGATGCAGGGAGTGAGAAATGGCGTCCAGAAATCCATCAACTCCTATGGTTTCCTTTCGGGAATCCACAACATGGTTGGGAACCACATTCCCTACTTCTCGCACCAGCGAGTTTAGTGGCAAAGAAACAGTTTGCACTTCCAGCACTCGGGTCCATGGCAACCTCTGCGTATTCAAGGTGCCCCAGTGGTGCCGTTTTACCAATTTGTTTGACTACACTCTAACTTCGCAACTCTGGAGGACCTAGTGGATGCATTTTCAGGGGTCATGATGGCCACATAAATCCCAAGTCCAAGCCCCAAGTGAGCCATCAAAGCCCACTTGGGGATGGTGGACGTTGTCCAGTCCGAAGTGAAGATCACAGGCGTGCAAGAGGCTGGGCGAGGCGCTGCAGCACTGTGGCACGGGAGCTGATAATCCCTGCAACGCTACTCGGCATGCAACACGCGACAAGTCTAGGTCCCCCAGCTAGGCGCCCTTTACCGTTTCTTTTTTTGGGGAGGGTTCAACCCTATTAAAATAAATCACAGAAAAAATGGTACCCTTACTCTAACCTCTCTACTGGAGGAGTTCTTTTCGCGGTTGGGCCATGGCTGGCACCGAAACACGCTTTGCTTCGGGACAGCATAGATGGTGCGCGAATAAGCCTTTGAGCATTGGCGCATGCCGAGATTGTCAGACTGCGGCTTTCCTTTTTCAAGGGCATCCTCCTTAATTACATTGCTTTGGGCAAGGTATTGCCAGACTTGACCCCACCCAAGGAACAGCAACGGTTGGGGTGACAAAACAAGCTCCCCGGTAGACATGTTGCTGGGCAGGAAATGAGGGAACCCCTTGTAATGCTGTTGTCCCTTTTGGTTCACTCCTAACATCCTAAAAGCTCTGAGAACCAAATCATGACGCCTGGCGGTTTTTGGTGTCCATACAGGTGCCCGAGTCATGATTGGCTCATGCTTGGCGTCGACGGGCAGGACTCTGTGGTGGAACTTGCTGCGAGCTGCTACGTGCGCAAGGACAGTTGCAGGTCAAGCTTTCCCAACTCTACGTGGGCATGTGTCAAAAAGGGATTTGGACCCCAAAATGGGTGGTGTGGTTTCCATTTAGACTAAGCTTATCCGGCCAATAGACACCGACGCCAGCCAAGCGAGATGTGCCATCGGGCATGTTTCTCGGTCCATCAAAAGGGCCGAGCTTGAGGGGCCCTGAAAGGAAGATTTCGGACCCGGGAACTGTAGACCAGAGGGTATCTTTGAGGATGTCCCTTTTTTGGACCAGTGTTGCTCCCCTCGCACCGCTTCTGCTCATTTGCAGCGAGCCCTTGACAAGTTGCCCAAATGTCTAGCGCAAGCTCGCCAAAAAAAGAAAACAGCGCGGGATAAAAAAACCTTGAGGAAGGTCCCTTAGAATGTTTGGCCGTGCCGTATTTCCGGTTTGTGACATGCAAAATGCAAGCCAAATAGGATTGCCGGTTGCACGCGCAATAAATCGATTGGGGCCAGCGGTCTGAGGTGGGGGGCTTGGTGAGGGCAAATGAGGCACTGCTCGGTTTCCAGGACAAGAATGACATGGTGCAGTGGCCCACGAAGAAGGATGACTTGCAGTTGGGCTGGCTGGATCGCGCCTAGGACACGGTCCAGCTTTGGCTTTGGGATTGGGGTGTTTGGGATTTGGGGGGGTTGTTTAGGTTTTCTCAGTACCCTTTTGCAAACTTTTTTGGGGGGAGGGTGCCCGTACTAAAGTAGACTACAGAGAAAAAGGGCAGGCTTCTACCTCTCTGGAGAACCCAGTTGTGGCTTTGGGTTTGCAGCTTGGGGGATTTGGCTTTTGGGTTTGGGGTGCAGCGGCTGAGGCTTTTGCTTTCGGACGACAGGGCCAGATCAGGGCCTGCACGTGGGCCTCAAGGACGAGGAAGGCCTGCCCGCGGCGGGAAAAAACACGTAAGGAAGGACACAGCGATCGACATGTTTGAAAAGAACGATGGTTGAGAAGAATGGAAAAGGAGTCAACCCCCTAGAACACTCGGTCCCGTTTGAACCCCCGTTCTTGTTCTTTTGTAGGTTTCTGGGCCAATCAGGATGCCATGACCTTTCGTTGCAGCGATCCATTTTGCTGCACTCTGACAACATGTAGCCTAGATCTTTGAAAGACGGTTTTTTTGCTGGCAATGGCCTCCAAACATGTCACCTTTTAAATGTAGAGCAACAAAACGAAAATGCGTGTGCAGAATAAACTGAACAGCCAGTAGCTGCCCAACTTGAGCCACTCAAAAGAGATATCATATATGCACGCATATGCTAAACATATATGTCGTAAATATGTCTACCAGCACCTCCAACTGTGTCTTGGACAGTACTTGGGATTATGGACATGGGAAAAGAGCTGCTGGGGGGGGGGGCTGGTATATAGAGTATTGAATTGTTATTTAGTCGTACTTTATCCATTTGTGTATTTGTTCACATTGCTTACTTATTTGCTCATGTGTGTATTGCGCAAAATGTTGTTTGGTTATCCACGCACATATTGATTTACTTAGTTGAGTGTTTCCTTATTTACCCACTTAGTGTATTGTTGTGTTCATGCATGGGTTGTGTGTTGTCTATTCATACCACGCATGTTGACATAATATATATATATATATATATATTTGTATGTATATGTATATATATATATATATATATATACAACATGGTGCATTGTACACGCAGGTGGCCCTGGATGTTGAAACCTTGCTTGCAATCCGATCAAGATTGCTTCGCCTGAGACCGACCTTGCCTTGTTCAGCGTTTGGTATCGGAGACATCTCTGCCCTTGACTAAGATGGTAACAGAACAGATTCGCGTATGGATTTAGGTGTTTCTCCAAATCTGTGTCCCCATGTTTGGTTTCCTTTTGGCTCCCTTCAACTTGCTGTTCTCAGCTGGGAACGAGGGAATGCCCCCTATACAGCATCAACACCCGGACTCGGTCATTCCCTATCGCACCAGTTAAGTACCAAATGGGTCCATCTTGAATTCAGCTTGAACAGATACACAAATGTATAAAGTACAACTCAACAGCATTTAAATCCAAGAGATTTCAAGTGTTTAAACATCTATGAGATCCAAGAATGGACAACTTCCTGGAGTCTCCACGACCCTTGAAAAATGGGGTTACCCAACATTGAGGGGTTATGACCTCTTTTGCTAGGGGTCAGAAGGAGACTCGAGGTACCCAGTGGCCAGGTTGGACGGACTATCCGGGCCCGGCGCAGACTGGGGGATCCGACCACATGCCGGTGGCCGCAGCTGGGCTGAACTCGTTGAACTCGTTTCACTCCCCGAGCTTTCCGTTTCGGAGCCGAGGTCCTGTTTGGGGAAGACCAATTTCGTGGTTGTAAACTCGGCCCCCCAGTAGCGGCCTTTCCCAACCGCCTTTTTTGGTTGGGAGGGTTCTCCTGCTAAAATAGACTACAGGAAACAAGGGTACCCTTAATTCTAACCTCTCCACTGGGAGGCCCCAGTTTTTGGGGAAGACTACTCGTGGTAGATGTAAAGATTAGACTTTTCTGGCCCACCTGGTCAGGAAGCGTGTTCCTGAATTCAGACGTCGCCGGTCGAGGTTTCATGCCAGTGGGTACAAGGCTATGAATGCCCCCTCCCCGCCTCAAAGGCCGTCCTGGCCCTTGATTTGTCTCAAGGAATCCCCAAAATTTTTGATTCGGTTCCCTTTCATAGCCCAAGAATCTGGCTGGTGCTCAGTAGAGGGAATGCCGGGGAATGCCCCCCAAAAAAAAGCCATCCCAAGTGGTGGAACTTCCTCCATTCGAGAAGACCACAACGAGTCAATTGCCAGTTCCCGACGTAATCGCGCCAGCAAGATGTGGTTTGTTGATCCCTTGGCAGGAGTTAACCTTCCATTTGCCTTCTGCCTTTGTCTCTGCCCCGGAAAAACATATATAGGAGAATGTAATTCCGGTAGTGAAATCGATTCCATTCGAAACCAACAAGGAAAGAATCCGTTTGGCCATTTGGATTCCCAAAATGGGTGGACCGTTTCTCTTTCAACCAAGCCCAAGAATCTTGCTGGTGCTCAGTAGATGAGGGAATGACCCCCAAAAAAAACATCCAACTGGTGGCAGTAGTGAAATCGATTCCATTAAATTCCAACAGCCTAAAGGGATCCCCGTTTAATTTGTCGCAAGGAATCCCCCAAATAATTGCCTCGATTTCCTTTTGATCTTCAAAAAGGCCCTATCGGGAGCCAATCGAAGGCGACTCTTCTGCTCACCTACGACAGCTGCAAGTGCTCCGACATTCCTCCGCACATGACGGTGGCCGGCTGTGAGGCTCTCGAGTTCGCGAGTTCTCGAGTTCTCGGACCAGAAAGGGCTCCCGGGCATTCTCCGAATGAGAGAAAAACCCGGAGACTCACTGAACAGCTACTTCATTCCCCCAGTGGCCTTTCTCACGCCTTTTTTGGGGGAGGGTTCCCCTGCTGAAATTGACTACGGAAAAAAGGGTACCCTTATTCTAACCTCTCTGTGGAGGACCTAGTCACTGAACAGTTACTGCCGTTTTGCGTTTCAGAATATCACATTTTTCCTGGTTGGTGCTGGACTGAGTTTTATTCTTTCCACGGGACAAAAAGGCAAGTGGAAGGTGCACTTTTGGCAACGGGTCAACAAAAGTCACAAGATCCCAGGAGAAGCCACCTAGTTACCTAAAGTCTCCAGACTCCTAGAAAAGGGGGGTTTCACAACCCCCTGAAATTTCGGGGGGGATGGCGACCAAGCCATTTCTACAGGGCCGGAGGCTCCCGGCAGTCCATTCCGACCAGATCTCCAGCTTCCGTGGCCCCCGATTTGGCCCCGTGGACCTGCCAGGCAAACTCCAACCAGGCGCACGGGGAGTCGAGCCGGGGAGCGGGGCGGTGTTTCGCGGGTTTCGGCCTTTGGGCTCGGAATTCTCAGCATGGGGAACTAAAAACAGAAGGCCAGCTACTTCGGGATCCAAATGTGTGTTTTTGATGCATCGCCGTTGCCTTGTTGTCAGTTCATCGCGCTCTGGGCGCCTTCTGGTTTTCCTTCAGTCCCCTACCAACTAGCAAAAGTCAATGTGTTGTTGCGCGCTGGCCGTCTGGCCTAATTCTTGGACGGCAAGGAGCGACCAAACAGGCAACCAACCGCCCGCACTTGGCATAACTAGTTCCTTTCTCGAATGACTTAGACATTATTTGGTGTGCAAATTGTTGAATTCAAAAGCCCGTTTAGCGGTGGGGGGTCTGGGGGATGGGACACGTCCAGGAATCGCCGCGTTTACGTTCGCAAGCGTCCGCGAGCGTTCACGATGTGTCCACGAGTGTCGCGCTCGCCGTTCCATTGGGATTCCTACAAAACATGACTTTTCAATGAATGGTGGAGTGTTGAATTCGCTGTGACTGTGTGGGAATTGTAGCTCTTAGCGCATTAGACGTTGTTTCGAGCCATTGTGATTTGCGCTGCAGGGGTGGTCGCTTTGAGGTGTCCGGCTTGGCAGGCGCGCGCAAGCGTCTGTGCAAGCGCCACAGTCACGTGCTAATGTTGGATGCGTGTCCTGAACGTGTCAAAGTTCGATCTTGTGACAGGCGCAGTACTTTGGAGGGTTTTGCTCGAATTCCGTGGCAGGCGCAGTACTTGGGCGTAGGTTTCGTGGCAGGTGCCGTGCTTTGGAGCTTGGAGTGCAGTTCGTGGCAGGCGCACTTTGAGAGCCAGGGGATGTCCTTAGAAGGTGTCTTGGGGAAATGTCTTTGCGGAGTGTCTTTGGGGCTGTTTTGCTGCTGTCTTGGGTGAAATCTTGGAGATGCCGCCCGAAATTGTGGCTGGGGTTGTCTTGCGGGATGTTTTTGGGAGATTGTTCAGGGGATGCCTTTGGGTGTTTTGGGGATGTCCTTGCGGTTGTCTTGGGTGATGTATTGGGCGATGACTTGGGGTGATGTTTTGGTTGGGGGATGACTTGTGACTTGTGGATTTGAGGGGATGTTTTCAGGGGCACGTCTTTGGGCGGTGTCTTTGAGGGTCTCTTGGGGCGTGTCGTTGCCGCAGTCTCGGGTGACGTCTTGCAGGTGATGTCATTGCGGATGTCTTCCGAGGGTGTTTGGGGCAGATGTCTTTGGGGGATGTCTCCGAGAATGACGATCTCTTTGCAAGGTCTTTTTGGGGGGTGTCTTTGGTGTGTGTGTGTGGGTCATGGTCCTCTCTCCGGCGGCCCGTGGGCCCGTGGGCCCGGGCCCGTGGGCCCGTGGGCCCGTCAGATGGTCGTGAGCCAGAACGCGAAACAAAATTGCAGCCGAAAATGGCGGGGTGGAGCGGCCGAAAATGACAGCGCCATCCAGAAGGAGCCCAAAGAAAGGGAACATTGAGGCTGCAGGGCGTGCTCTGACTAGATTGCCAGATTCGTTCGAAATTGGGCCCTTGCCCGTGAGATCTGGGCCCGTGCCCGTGGCGTGCAGGCCTGTGGCCTGCGGGCCCGTGGGCCCGTCAGCTGGTCGTGAGCCCGTGCGCCCGGAGCCTTGTAAGTTCGTGTGGCCCGCCTATAGGCTCCTTCACTGAAGCAGCACCAGCGAGAACACAAAACAAAATGGACCGGCGCAAGCGGAAAAAGATTGCAGCAGGGCGGGGTGGAGCGGCCAAAAATGAAACCACAACCCAGAAGCAGCCCCAGCAGTCCAAAAAAGTAGATCACCAGATTCGTTCGACCTCATAGTCGAGAGACACAGGCATATGTCCTGAGTGAAGGCATTTTGCATTACAGTTTGTCGTCTATGTGTCTTGGAGCTCCACTGCACCCGCCCTGCTGCCTCTGCCGCGCGCCTGCACGGCGGCCATTCTGACCATCAGGGCTCCAAGAACTCCCACACCTCGATGCATGGCTTGACTGAAAAGCGCAGCGCTGTGTGTGCGAGCGCACGCGCTGCTTTGCTTTTCTCCGCAGCGCCCGCTCATCCCGCAACGGCACGGGGGCCTGGCGTCTTCCTGGCTTTGCTCCTTGACGCCAGGCTGCTCAACAAATTGCGATTCGTGCATGTAAAAAGCGCAAGAGTAACAACGAAGGTGGCTACACCAGGGTCAGCCTCAAGCTTGCGCATTGGAAGGCGGTCATGCAGGCTGGGCTGAGCCAGTACCGCGTCGGGGAGTACCTTTTTGGGGAGAACTGCGAAGAGAAGCCTGGCCACGCGCGTGTGGTGTTGCACTTAACCGCACACCGGAAAAGGAGGAGCTGGTGCGGGAGTATCACAATCGTGTCATGAAGCTGTGCCAACTGCCCTTTGCCGCCATTGGTGAAAAAGTGATGAAGCGCTCAGCCCAGGACCCAAAGCCCCGCAAGCCAGCGCGCGCGGCACTTCCGAGTGCTGCAGGGGGAGCGGCTGAAAGACCATTGTCGGAGTGGGGCGCGGCAAGGGCACGTCTTCGAGAGCATTGGGGACAAGCCCGCGGCCTTGCCTGGAGAGCGCGCGTGGCACGGGCGCTTCCATGAAAGGCCCGGGCACGCCGCTCGGGTTTGGCAATTGCTGATCCGCACAAGCGCAGATTTGCTAGATATGACCAACGTGGTCCTAATTCGGGGTTCTTTTGCAGGCAATGTGTGTTAGACACATTGCGCCAGGGAAGGTCCATTTACATCCATTTACTGCAAGCATCCGACATGCTCACAACTCTGATCCGGGGGAAAAATAACAAAAGTTGACAAGCCCATGTGTTGCACCCATGGTAAGGGAAGCGAATATGTTAAGTGCATTTCCAGCAGTTTGCCTCAAGCTTTTCTGCTTCTCGCTGTCTGACATTCCTCGGGCAACCTGTCCGCTGACGATCTGCGAGTGTGGCAGCGAGCTGTGCTGGCCAGCGTGCTAGATGTGGGTGGCTGGCGCCAGCTGTGGCGCACGCCGCGCCGCTGCAAGCGAGGAAGCTGCCCGAGCAAGCGGCGGCGCCTGTGGCGCAACTACTGGGCCAGCGGCCGGCCCCAATCGCGCCTCTGGTTTTGGCCAGCCGAGCAAGAGATGCAATATTTTTTCGTGGCAGGGCGCTGGGGAGCCACGAGCGCCTGGCTGCGACAAATGTCGCGGCGCATCGTTTGGCAGTATGCATCATTCACGGGCGAGGCGGAAGTGCATGCGGCAGAGGCAGCCTTGCAGGAGAAGACGCGCCTCGTGCCTTCCAAGAGCCACCTGAAACTCAGCCAGGCATGGATACTGTGGCGGCTTGCCCGGCGGCCCAGCTTTTTTTGTGGTGTCGATGTAGCCCTTCCCTTTGCTGCTTTTTGAAGATTTGCTTTTTCCGCGGCTAAGGTTGTCAGGATTGATCAGAGATGGTCAGACACAAGCATAACTTGCCCAAGACCTACCGTGGACTTGGCAGCCAAGCTGCTACCTTGGCTGGGGTGTGGAAGTGGTACCCGCAGCACATGTTGCAGCAGCGTGTCCGAATGGCAAGGCAGGCAGGCGACGACCTCGCCCGCATTGTCATGGATGGCAACCTGAAGTTGGCAGGCCGTGTCTGCGGACGGCCTGTGGCGGAGCTGGTTTCCTGCCCATCCCTTTCCATGTTCACCGCTGCCCCGTGTAGCAGGGAGCCTGCCCACAAGAAGCGTAGGTGCGCGGTCCACACAGCCACAGAGCAGCCTTCGACCGCCCTTCAGCCAGAGATTGTCGTGGCCCATCGCCGAGTCAGAGTGCCGATGACTCGGGAATGTCTGCCCCGTACCAGGCTTTCGTGAAGCCACGGGCAGAGTTTGAGAGAGGCCAGCCTGTGCGAGGCCGCTGGGCACCCGCAGACCACGTGCTTGACGAGTTGCTCCAAGAGTATTGGAACAACAAGGAAGTCGATGGCTATGTGACAAGCCGCAGCAGTGTTGAGGACCGCAGCGCTACAAGGTGCGCCACTCACAAGGAGCACAAGAAGACCGGTTCGGGAAAAGTCATCCATGCCAAGGAGTTCATTGGCTCAGAAGCTCTGAGCCAAAGATATTTCTTCCTGGCAGAGCTTGCAGAGGCAGTGCCAGAGCTCCGGGTGCTATGCCACGATGACGCTTGTCACCTCCGCAAATACGCGACCAAGTATGCCGAGGCAAGCCCACTCAGTCAACGGCTCGCCTTCCCGAACATGCAGCGCCTGTGGCACAAACAGATGTGTGTCCCCACGCAAAGATGGAATGCTGTGTTGTCCCTCATGTCTACTTGCATTCTTCTCCCTGGGGTCCAGCAAGTCGGTTTGGGAGTGGAGTGCGGCTGCGCACGCTGAGGTATGTCATTGACCGTCTGCACGCGGCCAACCACAAGGACCAGTGGGGCAAAGAGCACTGCGATGCGGACACTGAGGCCAACTGTGACCTGCTGAAGGGCTTCAATTCCTCAGCAGCCGAGATGACAAACTCGGTAGTGTCGCGGCACAAGTTTGCAATTCGGCAAGTGAAGCTGTGGACACGCAGCTTTTACATGCACGAAGTCCTGGCCTCTCGCAATTTGTTGAGCAGCCTAGCTCGCACACACAGCGCTGCGCTTTTCAGTCAAGCCATGCATCGAGATGTGGGAGTTCTTGGAGCCCTGATGGTCAGAATGGCCGCCGTGCAGGCGCGGGCGGGCGCAGTAGAGCTCCAGGACGCATTCAGAACGTCCACAGCCAGAAAGCAAGCGAGGCTTGTCAGCTATCCTATCAGGTTCCTGGTCTTGTGGTCTTAGCGGTGCCCGTCATTGGCCCGGCTTCCACGGTCCCTTCTCTCTGTGTTTGTGTGTCTGTGTGTCTGTGTGTCTGTGTGTCTGTGTGTCTGTGTGTCTGAGTGTCTGTGTGTCTGTGTGTCTGTGTGTCTGTGTGTCTGTGTGCCTGTGTGCCTGTGTGCCTGTGTGCCTGTGTGCGTGTGCCTGTGTGCCTGTGTGCCTGTGTGCCTGCGTGCCTGTGTGCCTGTGTGCCTGTGTGCCTGTGTGCCTGTGTGCCTGTGTGCCTGTGTGCCTGTGTGCCTGTGTGCCTGTGTGCCTGTGTGCCTGTGTGCCTGTGTGCCTGTGTGCCTGTGTGCCTGTGTGGCTGTGTGCTGTGTGTCTGTGTGTCTGTGTGTCTGTGTGTCTGTGTGTCTGTGTGTCTGTGTGTCTGTGTGTCTGTGTGTCTGTGTGTCTGTGTGTCTGTGTGTCTGTGTGTCTGTGTGTCTGTGTGTCTGTGTGTCTGTGTGTCTGTGTGTCTGTGTGTCTGTGTGTCTGTGTGTCTGTGTGTCTGTGTGTCTGTGTGTCTGTGTGTCTGTGTGTCTGTGTGTCTGTGTGTCTGTGTGTCTGTGTGTCTGTGTGTCTGTGTGTCTGTGTGTCTGTGTGTCTGTGTCTGTGTGTCTGTGTGTCTGTGTCTGTGTGTCTGTGTGTCTGTGTGTCTGTGTGTCTGTGTGTCTGTGTGTCTGTGTGTCTGTGTGTCTATGTGTCTGTGTGTCTGTGTGTCTGTGTGTCTGTGTGTCTGTGTGTCTGTGTGTCTGTGTGTCTGTGTGTCTGTGTGTCTGTGTGTCTGTGTGTCTGTGTGTCTGTGTGTCTGTGTGTCTGTGTGTCTGTGTGTCTGTGTGTCTGTGCGTCTGTGTGTGTGTGTGTCTGTGTGTGCGTGTGTTTTGGGGGATATTTTTTTAGTTCCATCGCAGCGGGAGACTGCATCCAGCACGGTCAGGGCATCTACAAGACCACGTCCGGCTGCGAGGGCATCGCGCAGATCCTCATCGCTTTCATATTCGCCAGGCTTTTCTTCCACGAAATCTGTCTCCGATCATTTCTCCACTACCATCCTCTCCAGATGAAATAGCACCTCACCTGGAAGCTGCATCCGTAGGCCCGGCATCTTGACAAAGGCTTCCAGATCGGCGGCCTTCCGCCCGGCCCATGAAGTCCGGCACGCTTGGACTGTCCACAAGAAGCTGAGCAAGTAGCATCGATAGCTGAAGAACTGCTTTCAGCTCAGCACGCAGCCCACGGGGCCTCAGCCATGCCCACAAGATACCAACGATTAGGCACTTGAACAAGGTACGCTGACACTCACACAACCTCATACTCGTTGCTCTCATCGAAGACTGCCACCTAGCAGGACGCACCCAGGATCCTGTCAGTAATCCGGCACCGATATTTCACAATGCTTGGCGTGAGTGGCGCATCGTTGATAGTTCCATTCAACCTATGTACCTGGAGATCTCGCACCGTACTGCTGCGAGTGGGAGTGGCGGGATTGGCAAGGCTGCGGTTTTCAACGTGTCCTATCTCGTGAGGAATCTTTCTTCATCAACGCCACCGCCCCAAATATATCGGAAGCAGTTGGTTGGTCTCACTGAGATCGAAGCCTCGCATTCGACTCTGGATTGTCCATCATCGTCTTCGGCCCGGACTACATTGGCATATGCGGGATTGCCCTGTCCTACCCGGAACAGAATCACGAACACTTCACGGTTCCCCGTGGCGAACTGAACGCGGGCGGGCTCCTTGGTCGACCAGGCCTACTGCGCCCAAGCGATCTCGATCTCTCGGAGGGTTGCACTGCACGCTTGAGCCGCTGATGGTGATGATAAGTGATCTTGTGTCATGACTTGCGGCCAAAACATCGCCCGTCTTCTCGTTCCTACCGGAGCGTGCGTGTGCTCAGCATCAGATTAACCTGATGCCATTTGTTGCACTTTCAAGCAGGGGGACCGAGCTCCCTGATCATCAGAGAGAGAAGCATCCACCGGCCATGGATGTGTACTTGCAGAGGTTGTCTTTTCGCTTAGGGGGAGGCCGCGTCAGCCACTACTCGAACATGACCACTCGATCACGACCACTTGAAGTTTAGCTGTTTTTTCCCTCTGGGAGTCATGTAAGTGTGTGTGTTTTTTGAGTGGGTGTGTGTGTGTGTGTGTCTCAGGGACATGTCTTCGGACATATCTGGCGACGTCCGCAGTGTTTTTATAGGACCTCTTTGGGGATGTCTTGTGACGTCTTTGGGGCGCGCTTGTCTGCGGGGATGTCCATGTTGGGCGTGTCTTTGAGATCTTCGAATGCTTTGCTCGTGCCTTTGGGGCTGGTTTTGCCCGTCTACCGGGCCTTGGTGCAGGCCTGGCTGCCCGGGCAAAAGACCACCGTGACCTGTGCAGCGGGCCACGTGATGAAAGCTGGGCCCGCGGCCCGGAGACGAGGGGAAAAACGAGCTCACTACGGATGGGGCGAAGTCCAGAAGTCGCATCAGCTTGGAAACCAAATTTGAAGCCATGGTTCGTTGGTATTTGCAGGGGAATCATCAGAAACCAGGGTTTCAGAAAGGTGGCGCGAAATGGATTTCGCAACCATCCACAGTATGGGGATCCAATGCTTGGCTCAGGTTTTTGGGTCGGAATGGGAACAGAGGGTCGATGGACCCTTGGCTGAATAGGGGGGGCCCATGTTAGAGGGCAACCTTCACGTATTTGTTTCTTAGGGAGGGGAACCACTTCTTTCGTAACCCTCACTTCATCCTGAGGGCGGAGCATGGGTTGGTTCCCTGGTACTGCTGTGCCCCCCCCTTTCACACACCAGTCAGCGGGACCCTCTTTAGGGAAAATGCTGGGTTGGACTTGGACTTGCCAGTACTTACTTTAGCATTGCCAATTCTAAATTTAGACCTCCTCAGTTGCAGTAAGATAAAGCTAGCTCCGAACCTTCCCACATATTGCATCAATAGTTTTACCGGTGGCTCAACCAGTTAACCAGGGTGCAGAGCTTCCCATTTTCACCTCATTTGGCCAGTGGGAGTTGTTCCTTTCATTGGGCGCCTATCGTTCTATTGTTCTTGTGGCACGCATCAGGGGTTGAGTTTTTAGAGGCGCGTTGGGTCTGCGGATTTGGGTTGGGACTTCAAGCAGGGGAACCTCAAACATGGTTTTCCGGTTGCTTCCGTTGGAACCAAGCAGGGTAGCCTCAAAAGCAAGCCCCATGCGTCTATTGGGGTCCATACGGAGGCCTTGTACACTGAAGTGCCCAACATGCGACCCTATGTTTTGTGGTTGCAAAGGAGAACGAAAAGAAAACCGAAGCCGTCTTGCGGGCCCCCTGCAAAAAGACACAACCGAGTGAGTACGTGAGTTCGAGAGTTCGAGGACGGGTTGAATGCTTTAGGTCTGAAAGTGGGTAGCGCTCAGACCGTGAGTCCCTTTTGATACTGTGTCTTCTTGCGTGGGCAGTGGGAACATCTAAAAATCATGTGATGTCCTGAGCGGTGGTACTCCCCTAATTTAGTCCCCAAACTTTGCTGGCTGAAAGAGAAAACAGGAAGGTCCATTGACACAAAGCAGACACGGTTGAGAAGCCGTTTCCCTGCGGGTGAGCATGGTCCAGTTTTCACCACTTAAGAGCCGTAGGAAGACCATTTTAGCGGTACACAGCAAGTTGGGTGACTTTGATTTGAGCCAGCTACTCAGGAAGGGAGGTTATGAGTCAACCAACACCAACCTGAAAAGGATACCTCCCACTTACCGCTACTTCCAGTTGCTTAGGAACATGTTGTTATTTTCCCATGTTGGTTTGGAAAGGAACTTATCACTACTGGATATTTTTATCTATTATTATTATTATTATTTTTTTCGGAGGTCTTGACCAAATGGAAGTTTAAGCTAGCTGGAACGTCCAAGTACTCGTTGAGCCGGTTGCTGAGGTTAAGTGCCATGTGGCACAAGTTCCGGGAGCACTCTTCGGCGGAGTTGACTTGTAGCAGAGGAGGGTCCGGGGCCCCGGAGCAAGGCGGCTGGGTTTTTTTGAGAAGTCCTGCCGAAAAACTTGGTGGCTCCCAGCCATCGGGTCCCTTCGCCTTTTAGCCTTTTAGCTTTTTAGTGGGGATTTCCGAAGATTACCCACCAACAGTTGAACTTTTAGCCGGGCATCTGAGGTCGGCCCAGACAAAAGTTGAAATCTGCCCCCCCCCCCCCCCAGGTGAGAAAACTTCGGTTTCAGCCGTTTTCGAGAGTTTTGGTTTCTTTCCTCTCAAAAAAGGATGGAGTTTCCTGAAGTTTCATCCTTTTGCCGCAATGTCCACCTTCCAGCCTTTCAGAAGTTCCAGCTGGGAGTTTGTTTGTGTTTCCTCTTTGCGAAGCGCTGATTCAAGAAGTTGTCATGCATGGATGAGGGAATCAACTTCTTTTTTGGTGGGTGTGGACATACCTGTAGCTGGTTTTTGCGGCAAGCCAGACCTCCAAGCTCCAGTAGTGCGAGCCCAGTTGTCCGGACCTGTTTCCTTTTTTTCGCAGGGTCCTTTTGAAGTTGCTTTACGCTTGCTTGCTCTGGGTCTCCGGATGGCGTTCTCAAGTTTACTTTGGGGCTCCCTTTAAGCCATCATTTCGAAGGTGATCATTTGGGGCGGACTTCAGAAACGCCACCGGACGTTTGGGTTTTTTTGCGGATGATTTGGAGAACCGACTGGGCAGCATGATTCCCGAGCCGAACCCCCGAGCCCCTCGAAACCGAGCATTGGTGTTTGTTGGGATGGGTTCCTATTGGGAATCCCAAAATGAGAACCGAAGCCCCCTAAAACATTTTAGACCCCGAAACCCACCTCCGATAGATTTCGCGCCGGGGGGAACACCGGAACCCGAGAGCCGGCAGTGCAGCGCCGAGGATTCTGCGCACGTCAACGAGGAGGTCCCTGAACAAGCTCGAGTGTATTCAGGCCGTCAACCGCTGCTTTCTGGACTTCCAGTTGCGTTTCAGAAGCCTTTTGGAATATGTTCCCCTGCAAATCGATCACTGGATTGTCCTTCTTTCCAGCGTTCGGCAATCTTGATTCTGCGCACGTCAACGAGGAGGTCCCTGAACAAGCTCGAGTGTATTCAGGCCGTCAACCGCTGCTTTCTGGACTTCCAGTTGCGTTTCAGAAGCCTTTTGGAATATGTTCCCCTGCAAATCGATCACTGGATTGTCCTTCTTTCCAGCGTTCGGCAATCTTGTGGTTTTGGATGTGTGGCTCAGAAATCAAGAGCTATTACGCAGTTGTTAGTCTTTGGTTCCATTTACCCAGGTGCCATTTTGGTACATGAATCTATCACTGGATTGTCCTTCTTTCCAGCGTTCGGCAATCCAGTTGTTAGTCGTTTCCCATTTACCCAGTGCCGGCAATCTTGTGGTTTTGGATGTGTGGCTTCAAGAGCTATGAACGCCAGTTGTTGTCGTTGGTCCATTTACCCAGGTGCCATTTTGGGTAACGATCTATCACTGGATGTCCTTCTATTCCACGTATCGCAATCTTGTGTTTTGATGTTGGCTCAGAAATTCAGCTATTACCATTGTATCGTTGGTTCCATTTACCCAGGGCCATTTGGTACATAATCATCACTGGATTGTCCCTTCTTTCCAGCGTCGGCAATCTTGTGGTTTTGGATGTGTGGCTCAGAAATCAAGAGCTATTACGCAGTTGTTAGTCGTTGGTTCCATTTACCCAGGTGCCATTTTGGTACATGAATCTATCACTGGATTGTCCTTCTTTCCAGCGTTCGGCAATCTTGTGGTTTTGGATGTGTGGCTCAGAAATCAAGAGCTATTACGCATTGTTAGTCGTTGGTTCCATTTACCCCAGTGCCATATTTGGTACATGAATCGATCACGATTGTCCTTCTTTCCAGGCGTTCGGCAATCTTGGTTTTGGATGTGTGCTTCAAAATCATGAGCTATTACGCAGTTGTTAGGCGTTGTTCCAGTTAACCAGGTGCCATTTTTGGTACATGAATCTTATCACTGGAATTGTCCCTTCTTTTCCTCCAGCGTTCGGCAATCTTGGTGGTTTTGGATGTGTGGCTCAAAAATCAGAGCTAGAATTACGCAGTAGTCGTTGGTTCCATTTACCCAGTGCCATTTGGTACATGAATCTATCATCACTGATTGTCCATCTTCCAGCGTTTCGGCTATCTTGTGGTTTTTGATGTGTGGGCTCAGAATCAAGATCTATTACGGCAGTGTTGGTTCCGTTGGTTCCATTTAACCCGTCCATTTTGGTAACATGAAATCTATCACTGGATTGTCCTTCTTTCCAGCGTTCGCAATCTGTGTTTTTGGATGTGTGGCTCAGAAATCAAGAGGGCCTATTACGCAAGTTTTGTTAGTACTTTGGTTCCATTTACCCAGTGCATTTTTGGTACATAAAATCTATCACTGATTGGTCCTTCTTTCCGCTTCGGCAATCTTCGTGGTTTGGGATGGTGTGGGCTCAGAAATCAGAGCATACGCAGTTGTTTAGTAGCGTGGTTCCATTTACCCAAGTGCATTTTGGTACATGAATCTATCACTGGATTGTCCTTCTTTCCAGCGTTACGGGCAATCTTGTGGTTTGGGATGTGTGGCTCAGAAATCAAGAGCTATTACGCAGTTGTTAGTCGTTGGTTCCATTTACCCAAGTGCCATTTTGGTACATGAATCTATCACTGGATTGTCCTTCTTTCCAGCGTTCGGCAATCTTGTGGTTTTGGATGTGTGGCTCAGAAATCAAGAGCTATTACGCAGTTGTTAGTCGTTGGTTCCATTTACCCAGGTGCCATTTTGGTACATGAATCTATCACTGGATTGTCCTTCTTTCCAGCGTTCGGCAATCTTGTGGTTTTGGATGTGTGGCTAAGAAATCAAGAGCTAATTACGCAGTTGTTAGTCGTTGGTTCCATTTACCCAGTGCCATTTTGGTACATGAATCTATCACTGGATTGTCCTTCTTTCCAGCGTTCGGCAATCTTGTGGTTTTGGATGTGTGGCTCAGAAATCAAGAGCTATTACGCAGTTGTTAGTCGTTGGTTCCATTTACCCAGGTGCCATTTTGGTACATGAATCTATCACTGGATTGTCCTTCTTTCCAGCGTTCGGCAATCTTGTGGTTTTGGATGTGTGGCTCAGAAATCAAGAGCTATTACGCAGTTGTTAGTCGTTGGTTCCATTTACCCAGGTGCCATTTTGGTACATGAATCTATCACTGGATTGTCCTTCTTTCCAGCGTTCGGCAATCTTGTGGTTTTGGATGTGTGGCTCAGAAATCAAGAGCTATTACGCAGTTGTTAGTCGTTGGTTCCATTTACCCAGGTGCCATTTTGGTACATGAATCTATCACTGGATTGTCCTTCTTTCCAGCGTTCGGCAATCTTGTGGTTTTGGATGTGTGGCTCAGAAATCAAGAGCTATTACGCAGTTGTTAGTCGTTCGTTCCATTTACCCAGGTGCCATTTTGGTACATGAATCTATCACTGGATTGTCCTTCTTTCCAGCGTTCGGCAATCTTGTGGTTTTGATGTGTGGCTCAGAAATCAAGAGCTATTACGCAGTTGTTAGTCGTTGGTTCCATTTACCCAGGTGCCATTTTGGTACATGAATCTATCACTGGATTGTCCTTCTTTCCAGCGTTCGGCAATCTTGTGGTTTTGGATGTGTGGCTCAGAAATCAAGAGCTATTACGCAGTTGTTAGTCGTTGGTTCCATTTACCCAGGTGCCATTTTGGTACATGAATCTATCACTGGATTGTCCTTCTTTCCAGCGTTCGGCAATCTTGTGGTTTTGATGTGTGGCTCAGAAATCAAGAGCTATTACGCAGTTGTTAGTCGTTGGTTCCATTTACCCAGGTGCCATTTTGGTACATGAATCTATCACTGGATTGTCCTTCTTTCCAGCGTTCGGCAATCTTGTGGTTTTGATGTGTGGCTCAGAAATCAAGAGCTATTACGCAGTTGTTAGTCTTTGGTTCCATTTACCCAGGTGCCATTTTGGTACATGAATCTATCACTGGATTGTCCTTCTTTCCAGCGTTCGGCAATCTTGTGGTTTTGATGTGTGGCTCAGAAATCAAGAGCTATTACGCAGTTGTTAGTCTTTGGTTCCATTTACCCAGGTGCCATTTTGGTACATGTGTTTGAGCCACAGCCATATGTTCCCGGGTAGGGAATCTATCACTGGATTGTTGTTTTTGTTCAGTGTTCAGCAAATGGAAGAGATGTTCACCAAAGAAGTGGTCCCTTCGAATTTTGTCCATATCCTGTTGCTTCCCTTGAACCAGAGAGGGGGTCCACTTTCTTGCTGGTGCTCTGTAGGGAATGTGGGAATGAACCCAGGCTTTGGTCCCCTTAAAGGAACCACCAGGTGGATGGTTTATCTCGGGGTCATTCCATTTGTCGTTCCATGCTTCTCTCGCACCGATCGCAAGTGAGCCACGTCCTCAAAACCCGGGTAGAAGGTTAGTAAGGGGCCAGCCAAAAGAAGTAGGTGCGGCCGCCTTTTCAATTCCTTACATGACTCTGAGTTCACCATTGTTGTACCAGGTGTTGATCGATTTGACTCACCGACGGATGTGTCGAAAAACGAGATGCCTTTAGCTTAAAGGAGAACAGCAAACGATGATGTGGACGGGGCGCCGCATCCTTCCGAGACCTCCGTAGCCATTTCGCCTGTCCTTGAGCACATGCCCAAAGGTGTTTGCATGCATAGCAATGGTGTGAGCATGCACCAAAGCAACCAGGCAACATGCGAGCGATACAGTATTTGGATAACACTGGACAACGCTGGACGCGCATGCGTGTGTGTCTGTGTCTGTGTCTGTGGCTGTGTCTGTGTCTGTGTCTGTGTCTGTGTCTGTGTGTGTGTGAATGTGGATACCAACTTGTGCACGTTGGCGAGATGTTTTGTCAACTAACTCAGTCCTGGGTGGTAGCTCAGCACTACCACGCAAATCATCCGAACCTCCGCCCGTTACCCCTCGTCAGGCAGTCGCGGGAACTAGCTCTCGTTTTCTGGACCAACACGCTCTTCCATTCTCGCTTGGCGACGACGTTTACACTCTGCTCTAAGGGTAGCTTCCATTTCCATTCTGAACCGGATCCTTCTTTCGAGAAAACCACCTCAGGCTGGGAAACAGCTGGTTTTTGAAAGGAACGATGGTTGCAAAGAATGGGGCATCAACCCCTAGATTTGCTGCTCACCAGTAAACTGAACAGGAGCCCATCCTAAAAGATGTGCAAACTGTGTCTACAGGCATTCCCTCGAGAGTCAACTCTCCAACAGGGCGAGATCAGGGTGAAACGGGCTATGATGTAGGCCCTTTACTTGAGGATCCAATGCTTACTTCAGGTCTTGACGACTTGAGCCTGTGATAAACGTGCTTTTGGCTATGTGTCAAAGGGGGACCCAACACATGTGGTTTTCCCTTTGGTTTCCCAGCCTCAAAAGCAGACACCTTTCTCACGTCTCATGGAATTGTGGGTGGTTTTCCTTTTCTAGGTCCCCCAGTAGTGCCCTTTTACGAGGGTCCCCCTACTAAACAAGACTACAGAAAAAAAGAGAAACATTCAAAAAACATCGGTGGAAGAAACGTGTACCCTTCTTCTAACCTCTCTACTGGAGGACCTAGTTGTGGTTTCCCAGCCTCAAAAGCGGACGCTTTCTTCTTCTTTCCCCAAGTCCGCGAGGCCTGCACTGTGCCCTACCGGAACCCCGACTCCGCCGCAGAGCTGATTCCCAGCAGCGGCCCCAGACGCTGACGAGCCGGTAGATGTGTGAGGCGAAGGTGGCCCCTGCGGTTTCTTTGGTGCGAATTTCGCCAAGGGATGTTGGGACTTTAACTTTTTCTGCCAACTAATGGGTCTTCCATTAATTAAACCGCTCAAACAAATTCAACTATGAGCAGGGGAGCAGATTTCGCAACCGAGGTTTGGATGCCAAAAACAACAAGTCAGTTGAGCGCTTTCTCAAAACCGTCGGAAAGTGAAGGTTAAGGGAGACTCCCAAGCATAAGATGGGTGCGCGTAGCCTTGTTTATTCACATGTTGCTGGGTAGACCATTCTATTACCGATCGGTTTTGATTGTGACATTTGTTTTCCGGGGCTTTCTGTTGCGACCCCCTCTTGGATGGCCATGGCGCAAAGAGCCAACTTCTGACAAACTTGTGATGCTGTGGACGGACGAAATCCATTTCGCACCACTTGGAAACCATGACAAACCACTTGTTAAGTTGGTATTTACGGGAGAATTCGGAATCATCAGAAACCAGGGTTTCTTCGGTGATGCAGGAATTCGTCCGCAGTACGAAATAAAACTGGGGTAGACTTCGGATACATTTTGTTTTTTGCCAGTGACTGAAAGTGAAGCAAACAACAAAGTATATATTCTATAACTGGGCCTAACTCTAATCATGAAAGGCGGGCACAATCCCATGAGCTTCTACCAGTTCGTCCGTTCCGGCGCTTTCGGCGCTTCGGTCTCTTCGGATGTGGGGATCGAGAGACAAACTGGCCGGTCCAAACGAAATCTACGCATCCGCCAAGCACTGCCTTTTGGGTTGCCGTACCTTCCATTTGCTTAAGATTTTTTTTTTGTTCCCCTGGTGGTTTTAAAAGGAATCTATGACTACTGGAAATATGTTCATTTTTTTGAGCAAATGGAAGGTACCGAGGGGGAGAAAGAAGTTGGTTGGTGGACTATGGCCGTAGAATGCTGGCATTCTATCAGCCGGCTGTTTGATTTCCAGTGTCCTCACAGCAAGAACAGATCGGAAGTCCTGGAAAGAGTCGCCCGCAATAACGAAGACCCTTTCTCAGCTGGTTTGGCGTTTTGAAGGCAGCAACTCGTGGTTGCTTTTAGGGGCGCCAAAAGTACCACCCTGTTTTCGGTGTTTCAACCAGTTTTGGTTGTTTGGACATTTTTTGAGAGGCTCCCCCATGAGACTACCCCATGCTCCAAAACTGTTTTATACGTTTAAGGTCGAGTGCATATGAAACAGAATGTGAACATCTTATTGTGTACAAGATGTGTCACATGAGCGTCTGTCAAAACCTCTGGAAGACCAATATGTAAAGGGCTGGACATGACACACCAACATGTGCAGTAGAACGTGCCAAAAGCATGCGAAACGATAGGGAGGGGGGAAAAACGATAACCCAATCAAACCTGGTTTTGTGCACGGGGCCCCTTATGTAAGGAAATGAGTAGCTGAGCGTATTTCCTTTCTGCACTTGTACTGAAAAGTTACGACTTTCGAGCCGGAGCTGCCAAAGTGTAGTTTCCTTACTCGACTTGTATTGAAAAGTTGCGACTTTCGAGCCGGAGCTGCCAACGTGTACTTCCTTTACTACACTTGTACTGAAAAGTTGAGACTTTCAAGCCGGAGCTGTACTGAAAAGTTGCGACTCTCGCCATGCCATCAGAGCAACTCCTAGTAATGCACTGTGGCATGTCAACTTACAGTGATACACAGGCAACACCCTATGCAGCAAGCTGCAAGTATCGTTCAAATCTCATAATAGGTGCAACACAACACTGCAACAAAATGCTGGTGTGTTGAGGCGGCTGCAAGGGCGGAGCCAGACTTTGCCATCGAAGCGCCATGTTCGCAATTGTATTATGCTCATGCTTGGGCACTTCAATGGCGAGCAAGAGGTAATTACACTCATCCGCAAATGGACGATTTTTAGCGGCCTTTCAACCTCATTCTTGACACGCATCTCGATGTTACGGCTGAAATGTTTCCAGATATCTTGGGCAAGAAATTGTTTGGCCTTAGAACGCATTGGTCAATCTGTTGGATCATTGAGGCAACCACGACGGGGCGACAGCCGGAGACATCGTGTTAGTCATAAACAAAGGTTAGGCGAGGGCCGGCCAAGTCACAAATAAGTGCTTGAACTCTCAAAGGGTGAACTTGCTCCTGTAACGTCAACTTCCGGTTCTGGCCTGGAAACCAGTTCGAGAATTTGAGGACAGCTAGGCTATTATTCAGGGCAAGCTGCCAGCAAGTCCGAAATGCAAGTACATTGCGCCAGGGGCGTCGTGCTTTAAGCAATCCCAGCTTGCGCCAACAAGCTTGCGCAAATTAAAGCAGCAAAGTAGCAAAGCGCCGCCCTGGCTTGTATTGCACTGCCGCATCATGACTGAGCGGGCCTGCAAAGTGTTTTTAACGCTTGGTGGCTAGCAGCTGTTTGCTATATGACTGGCAGGATCTCTGCTCTTTGAACGGCGAGTGGCTCCGCGACAACCTTCATGAGTAGCGCCCTCATCGTGCAAACAAGCGCCGACGCAGTGTAGACTGTAGATTTCAAGCACTGTTTGTAGGGGGAGCCGCAAAAGGCCAACCTGCTTAGAACTGGCGATGGTAGCTGGCGAAGGAAGCAAGCTTTTTGGTAACCGCACGCGCTTGGCAAAAAATAGGTTGCTGGTCGGATGAATTTGGCTTACTGGCGATGATGTATTTTCGAGGAATTGGCTGGCCCTTGGGCTGCCAGAGCATGATGGGTAGCCAAGCAATTTTGGCTAGGGGTGATTTGTAGCCGAAGAGTGTTGGCTGGGAATAATTGATGGCCAAAATGTTTTGTCTGGTAATTATTATTAGCCAAAATGTTTTCGCTGGTGGTTATTGGTAGCCAAAAGGCTTGCCTGGCGGTGATTGATGGCCAAAATGGTTTGGGTGATTGGCAGCCAAAGCTGGGGGTGATTGGTAGTCAAAAATGTTTTGGCTGGGGGTGATTGGTTGCTGGGTGATTGATGGCCAAAATGTTTTGGCTGGGGGTGATTGAAAAAGGTTTTGGCTGGGGGTGATTGATGGCCAAAAATGGTTTGGCTGGGCATGAATGATAGCCAAAGGGGGTGATTGGTAGCCAAAATGTTTTGCGGGCGATTGGGTTTCCAGAAGCCCCCATCACTTTCTGCCAGCCAAATGCACTTGGCCAGCCAGGGCACTCGCTCAACACCGGGACAAGGGGGGCCAATCACACTCACAAAGCCAACTACATCCTAGACATGTGCTATTTGGATTCGTGGGTGATTGCAATGCTTTTTAACTGAGAAATTGTGATTGGGCTTCTAGAAACCCAATCACAATTCTGGCTGCGCCCGCGTTGTGCCGGTGTTGATTGACTGCCCTGGCTGGCCAAGTGCGTTGTGACGGGGCTTCTGGAAACCCAATCACCCCCAGCCAAAACATTTTGGCTACCAATCGCCCCCAGCCAAAACATTTTGGCAATCACCCCCAGCAACCAATCACCCCCAAGCCAACACATTTTGGCCATCAATCACCCCAGCAACCAATCACCCCCAGCCAAAGCATTTTTGGCTACCAATCACCCCCAGCTTTGGCCCCCCAGCCAAACCATTTTAACCATCAATACCACCAGCCAGCCAGGTCTTTTGGCTACCAATCGCCCCCAGCCAAGCCCTTTTGGCCACCAACAACCCCAGCGAAAACATTTTGGCTTATTATAATTACCAGACAAAACATTTTGGCCATCAATTATTCCCAGCCAACACTCTTCGGCTACAAATCACCCCTAGCCAAAATTGCTTGGCTACCCATCATGCTCTGGCAGTCCAAGGGCCAGCCAATTCCTCAAAAATACATCATCGCCAGTAAGCCAAATTCATCCGACCAGCAACCTATTTTTTTGCCAAGTGCATGTGGTTACCAAGAAGCTTGCTTCCTTTGCCAGCTACCATCGCCAGTTCTAAGCAGGTTGGCCTTTTGCGGCTCCCCCTACAAACAGATATCTACAGTCTACACTGCGGGCGCTTGTTTGCACGATGAGGGCGCTACTCATGAAGGCTGTCGCGAAGCCACTCGCCGTTCAAAGAGCAGAGATCCTGCCAGTCATATAGCAAACAGCTGCTAGCCACCAAGCTTTAAAAGCACTTTGCGCTCAGTCATGATGCGGCAGTGCAATACAAGCCAAGGCGGCGCTTTGCTACTTTGCTGCTGTACTTTGCGCAAGCTTGTTGGCGCAAGCTGGGATTGCTTAAAGCATGACGTCCCTGGCGCAATGTACTTGCATTTCGGACTTGCTGGCAAGCTTGCCCTGAATAACACTATAGCATGATATCCCAGCTGTCCTCAAATTCTCGAACTGGTTTCCAGGCCAGAACCGGAAGTTGGACGTTACAGGAGCAAGGTCACCCTTTGAGAGTTCAGGCACTTATTCTTGACTTGATGTCTCCGGCTGTCGCCCCGTCGTGGTTGCCTCAATGATCCAACAGATTGACCAATGCGTTCTAAGGCCAAGCATTTTCTTGCCCAAGATATCTGGAAACATTTCAGCCGTAACATCGAGACGCATGTCAAGAACGAGGTTGGAAGGCCGCTAAAAATCGTCCATTTGCGGATGAGTGTACCTCTTGCTCGCCATTGAAGTGCCCCAACATGAGCGTAATACAATTGCGAACATGGCGCTTCGATGGCAAAGTCTGGCTCCGCCCTTGCAGCCGCCTCAACCCACCAGCATTTTGTTGCAGCGTTGTGTTGCAACTATTATGACATGTGAACGGTACTTGCAGCTTGCTGCATAGGGTGTTGCTTGTGTATCACTGTATGCTTTGCCGGCGTAGATTTGGCACGATTCGCTTAGGAATCGCTCTGATGGCACGGGGTGAAAGATTTGGGCCAAACGTGTAGGCGAAGCGGCTTCTTGTCAGCTGCTCCCTGCTTCACAGCCTAGGGCTTGCTTGCGCGCCGCAACCAAAGAGCCAGTTAGATAGTGGAAAGGACCTGGTTGCAGCAGCAATGGCATACTAGACTTGTACTGAAAAGTTGCGACTTTCGAGCCGGACCTGCCAAAGTGTACTTCCTTTACTACACTTGTACTGAACAGTTGCGACTTTTCAGCTGGCAAACTGTACGTCGATTTCACGTGAAACGGCGCAGTGCACAAAACCCTGTAAAACGAAAGGGTTACAACAACAAGGCGATAACCTCTACCCGATGTCCTTTGGCTACACAAGAGGTTTCGCAAGTTGCCCATATGCGGGTTCAGAGCCAACTGGTAAAGGGAGCCTTTTTTGCGTACGTGACAAGCCATAATGCGGATGGTTGCGAACTTCATTTGCGGTCGGTTCTGAAACGGCATCTAGGTCCCCCAGTAGTGCCCTTTTACCCTTTTTGTGGGCGAGGGTGCAACAAAAAAGACTACAGAGAAAAGTTGGTATCCTTATTCTACCCTCTCACATCTGGAGGACCTAGGTATTTTCTGTTGGGGAATCGAAGCAGATTTCGCGCCTTTTGGTTAGAATAGCTTCGGACCAGACTTCGTCCATAGCCCATGCGTGGCCCATTCGCCAGGCGCGGCCGTGGCGGTGCCGGGGGAGGTTGTGACGCTGGAATGCCCACCTGGGACCTACATCTTGGGGGTGCCTTGCTCGCTATGGCACCAGCCATCGCCTATTGGAAGTGGTACCGTGTTGCACGGGTGTTGGGACTTGAACTTTTTGCCAACCAGTGGTTCAGGGGAGCAGAAGTCAACTGGGGTCGTTTTATTGGACTAGGCCCCCAGCTAGGTGCCCTTCTTTACTCTTCCTTTTTTGGTTGGGAGGGCAACCGTGTGTGTCCCTCTTTTTCTTGCTGGTGGGGTAGGCAGGGACGGAGAAATGGAATGATCCGGAAAAAACAATCCCCGATTTGGTTTTCTTTGAGAAAATCCCAAACCCGGGGTCATTTCCAGGCTGAGCACCAGCAAGGGGTGGTTTTCAATTGCCCCTTTCAGGCCAAAACATGTGTGACTTTCCTTTTCTGTGTTCGGCTTGGATGTTCGGACTTTCACTGTTTGCCAACTAATAGTTTTTCCATGAAACCGTTATCGTTGAACTTTTAGCAGAAAGCAACCGAGAGCGTACATCTTTGCCCTTGACCAAAATCCTCGCATATGCAGCCTCGGTACCCCCCCCCCCCACTCTAAAAATAAAATTGAGGAGGGGGGTTACGCCACTAAAGTAAAATGTTTTTGGGCTTAAAAGCCCCCCGAGCCCTACCCCCGGCGCCCCAAGCACACCGCCCTGCATGCTTCTCCCGCTCGCTGGGCTCGGGCCCTCGCTCCATGCTGGAGATGATACCACGGTGGCATGCGCTCCAGCCGCGCTCCGGCCACGCGCTTGTTCCTACACGCTTGTGTGTGCTCCGTGCGCTCCGTGCGCTCTGTCTCAGTTTGTTGTAACGCTAACAGTTCGGCCCCCAAAGTGCAAGGGCATCGCCGAGCAGATTGTGAGATGTGTGGTTGCGCATAGCAGCGCGCAATATTGCGTAAAATAGCGCAACGAGAAGGAGCAATGGAATCACCAGAAATCTGCGCGCACAACTGCAGTCTGCCGAACTTTGCATGACCCGGCGCGCAGGGTCCTGCGCCGGTGGCTTGCGAACCTGCGCGCTCAACCGCGGGACTCGGCGGGGCGAGGGGCTGGCCCTCCTCCCTGTTTACCAATTCGCAGAAAGCAAGCCAAACTACTTGAGACATAAGTTTAAGGTGTTACTGCGGTCTCAACGGAGATCCTGTGAATAAGACACGTGCCGCAGGCGCATGAGCCACAGCTCAGTGCTTCTACCTTGGGTTGCAAGTGTCCTGGAACCTGCTTTTGGCGGGTGAAAAAGACTCACTTCCTGAGTTCATGAACTTTAAACTTTTTTCGAAGACCATTTTAGTGGTAAGTATAAAGTTTGGACTTCTTCTGGGCCATCCACTCGGCCAGTGAGAAGAAGGCTTCAGGTCACTTGGCTGAAACGGGGGTCGGACGCAGCGCTTCCACAATTGTTCTCCCTATTTCTGCATCGCTTCAAAGAACGCCAAGCGCTGGCCGGCGGCAACATGCTTCAACTTGATTTAGTGTGTATCCGCCGCGCAGTTGGGCTCTTTCAGCGGACGGCCCGGAGCGCCGTGCCACGCATCTGAGAGCTTGCCGGGTCACAAGGGCCTTACTTGCAGATTTTCCGAATTTGCGTTTTCATCCAATTGCGGAACTGCAGCTTTCAGAAAGGCGCACTTCCCCAAAAACTGCCTCTTTTCATTTAGTCTGCTTACCGCCACTGGCGGTAAGCAGACTAAACGCTCAACTCAAAGGATTTCAGCCAATATCCAGCCCTCGGATGGTTTAGTCTGCTTACCGCCATTTTCGGTAAGCAGACCAGTGAAAAGAAGCAGTTTCGCGAAACGGCCTTTTTTGCCGAGTTGCAGCTCTGCGCATCGTGACGCATCTGGTTTGCATTCTTTCTGGCCCCGAGGCTTCGCGTGGCAGAAGTGCAAAGAATAAAGGAGATGGAGATGATTGGGCAAGAAAAGAGAATTAGTGAGAAAGAAGAAGGCAGTATGTAGGGCGTGATGCCCCAAGGTGGGAGCGCACAGAGGGCAAGGAGCTGGCCCTCCTCCCTTTTTACCAATTAGCAGAAAGCAAGCCAAACTTAAGGCGTTACTGCGGTCTGAACAAGCTGCTGCCGGAGATCCTATGAAAGAGAGATGCGCCGCAGGCGCATGAGCCACAGCTCAGTCAGCTCAGTGCTTCTACCTTGAGTTTTTGCAAGTGTCCTGGAACCAGCTGCTTTCGGCGGGTGAAAAAGAAGGCTCCAGGTCACCTGGCTGAAACGGGGGTCGGACGCAGCGCTTCCGCAATTGTTCTCCTAATTTCTGCATCGCTTCAAAGAACGTCAGACACTGGCCGGAGCCAGCGTGCTGATTTAGTGTGTGCTGGGAACGCTGCTGGGCGGGATGTTCATGTCGGGCTCAAGGAGCGGACGGCCCGAGGCGCCGTGCCATGCATCTGAGAGGTTGCCGGGTCACAGGGGCCTGCGTGGGGCCCGGGGCGCCGTTTCACAAGGCTCGGCGTACAGGACCCGGAGCGCCGGGTCGCGCAGTTGTGTGTGTGCCGCTTCACAAGGCCCGGCGTGGGACCCGACGCGCGTTGAGCACGCCCGCGGCGCAGGACCGGCTTGCCGAATCCCGCAGTTGAGCGTGCCGGGACCCGGCGCGCCGGGTCACGGTTGCGGCGTTTCCGGTCCCGCAACGCAGTGTGCCGGGTCACAAGGCCCGGCGGAGGAGGGTGTGCCGGGTGACTCGGCTGTCTGCGTTGCAGGTCACAGGGCCTTGAAAAAATGAAATGAGCCCCCCCCCCTACGTCGTTTGAAAAATAAAGTGCCCACCCCTACGTCACTTGCACTAAGGCAGGGGGGATGCCTCGGCTCAATATTTCCTATTTTTACACCTCACTTAGAGCCAGCCTTTTGACGATGGCCCCTTTGCGGACCTTGCTGTGCCACCTTTTCAAAGGGATACCAAAACGCCCCCTCCCCCTGTGTTTGGTTTACTGAACACTTGATCTCCTGCAACATTTGGCTCAAGGCCCCTTTTGTGTAACATTGCATCATTCATGATAGCGTGAGCAAAAGAACCTTTGCAGGCCGCTTACAGGATTATCCACAATACAATCCACCAGGGACAATCCATCCTCCAATCATCCATAGTGGCATATTGGATTCTCTCCGGAATAGATCCAGGGACCAAATCAACGACCTCTACTACCACAAAGGTACCAGTTCCTTTCTGGGATAGGTACCCCGGCAGTGGGCCTCAATTTGTGGTAGCGGAGCGGGTTTTCCGCAGAGATCCAAGGGAAGATGGAGAAGGCTTCATGGAAGCCTATTCAAGTATGGCAAAGCCACAAGGCTATACGGAGGAAACACTCAATTTATCGATGACCGCCAAGCAGCCGCCATCGTACGACGGAAAAGTCAGCTGGTTCAGGTATGAAGAACTCGTGGACGACTGGGTAACAATCACAACAGTGGAAGCATCCAAGAGAGGACCTCTGCTAAAGAGCAGACTCACCGGAGATGCATACATGTACAAGGCAGTCCTCCAGAATGACCTTCTGCAAGATCCTGATGAAGGAGTCAACTACTTTAAGAACACGCTGAAGAAGTACTTCTTCAAGGGTACGACCAACGTGTATCTGTACAGACTCAGTTTCTTCAACCATAGAAGGCAGAACCAAGAGTTCCTCATTTTTACCTCAAAATTCGAAATCCTTCTTATGAGATTGAAGGCAGCATGGATGGACTTGATGCCAATTTTTACGGCACAGTCCCCAACATTTCGACAATCCGTGCAGGAAGCAAATGCAAGAACCATTGCTCGACATCAGCAAGCAGCCGGTGTTAGAGCACCGCCTCCAGCCCTGCTAAATGAGGATGATCCAGTAGTCCTCAGACAATATATCACGGGAATGCAGGACAGACAGCGGGACGCATTTCCCTTCGGGGATAATCTCATTGCACAGTTTTTCATCATTCAGAGTGAACTGTCAGATCAGCAAAGAGAGAGACTGACAAGTGCAATGTCATTGAGAAACATCTCACTAGACAACTATTCCTATGAGATGCTGAAGACGCATTACCATGAACTCTTCATCACGACAAGGACATCCATCCAAGATCCATCCTTCTTCATCATTGAACAAGGTGAATACGAAGGAGAGGAAGGCTTCTGGGTTGAGGATGAAGAAGGACTTGAAGGATTTATGTCTAACAACGATGAAGAGACGTTCTGGGTCCTCGAGGAGAACGATGCGTTCATAGCAAGAAAAGTGTCGGGGCGGAACTTCAAGTTCAAGAAGAGAAAAGGAAAATGAAAATCAGGAAACAAAAAGGGCAGTCACCAACGAGGTGGCTTTAAACCCTTCAGAAAAAGCGGTTCTGGCGGAAAGGCCAATATGGCCAACGAAAACTATGATCCCTACGACCAGGCATAATGGGGAAAAGGCAAAGGAAAGAAGGGGAAGAAAGGAAACTCAAAATTCCAATATCCCTATGATGGAAACAAAGGTTATCCATCCTATGAGAATGGCAAAGGAAAGAGCGGACAGGAAAAAGGAAAATCCAAGACGTTCGCAGCCACCGCAGAGAAGACGGAGGAGCAGCCCGCCATCCAGCAGACTGCACCATCCATAGAGCCTACCTATGCCGGGTGGACAGACCAAGACTGGGATCAATCATGGACATGGAATGAACATGGCTGGTACTCATCCCATGAGACATCCAGCACAGGACAAGCGTTAATGGCATTCCATGATGCATATGAGCATCCTGAGAAAAAGGCCATCCACGGGAAGCTGATCCAATCAGATACAGTTTCAGAACACAATCTGTCCGTAACAACAAATCACAGCCTTCTGGCAACAAAGCTGATGGCGCCTGTCATCAACCCTCAGCACAACCCGACCTATGCGGTTCTGGACAATGGATGTACCAGATCTATGGGCAGCTGGCATGCAATCCAGCGTTTTACTCAGGCCATCGAACCAATGAAGGACATCATCTCCTATCAGTACATCCCGGCCGAGACCAAGTTCACTTTTGCAAACGGAGAGACCGC